ATGTACATTTATTTTCTCAATAAACACATTTACTTTTATTTTATTTTTTGTGAATGTGGATAACATTTCAGTGTCTCTCTGTGAAAAACTAAACCCTTTGAACAAAAACAAGATGCCTTTCTTGGATAAAGAAAGTTTTCATGTAGAAAAAAAAGACAGCATTTCTTCGAACGTATCTGATCAATCGATCAAGCATGTCAGCCTTTTTAAAAGCACCTGGACCACAAAAGGTCTACGTTAACAATATGTCAAGGCTGAAAGACGTCAGCAAATCGTCTTATAAGTTTTACTTAGAAACTTGAGTAGTAGTTAAGGCCTAAATTACCATTTTCACAGTAACTAATTAGACTACATAAGAGCCTGCCTTAAAGGGTCTTCATTGCATATTTGGCCTACTTTAGGTAAGAGATTACGGTATGCCTTTTATAAATGCCTTCGAGTCAACGAGTCGATGCAATCAACCGGTTTTCCTTAGATAACTTTGAATCAACTTTAATGTATGATCTGTTGAACTGTTAAGTGCCTTGTGATGACATGTTGTGAATTGGCGCTATATAAATAAACCGAATTGAATTGCAACATTTCCAGCACCCACTGCTGATTGTGAAAAATGTAGTTTCATGAATCATATCTAAAGAAATCATCTTTAAGTGGCATATTTAGAAAACCATTGGAAAGGTGAGAAGGGCAGACGTGAAAAATAGAAAGTTATAGTCAGATTTGTTCATTATCTAGTGACATTTTTTACTTTTCTTATTTATAGATATTGGTTGCAAAATACTTATACTGTTATACGATTTATAATAGAAATACTTCATTAAAAATTCACAGAGAAAGAGTTTAAGGAATTTATACTGCATCACAAATTTCAGCAAATATTTCATTGTGCGAAATGTAAATGTATTAATGTGAACCAAAATGTTTGAAAGGAGCCTCATACTGGCCAAAGTTGGACTAAATATAGCATCCTACACATCTAATATATACATTTTTTTTTTTATAAAGTGGACCAAATTTTAATTCAACTTATTGCTGCTGTAATCTCTTCTTCTTTTAATAAACAATGTAACTTGCTATAATCTGAGGTTTAGAAAGTGTTTAGTATTGGTGTGTGGCTTCAGCGTACACATCTGATGCTGCAAACATTGGCTAGCAGTGTACTCTGGGGGTTTGTCTGAATGCTCAGACACATGGAAAATTAAGAGGGAACATTGGTCACCGCAGCCCCAGTGTGAACTATGCTCATTGAGATAAATAAATAAATAATCGACACACCTCAAAGGACAAAAATACTTCAACTAAGATGTTAGAGACTGATAAAGACATTCAGGAACAGGAAGTTCTTTAAGATACTGGTGATACAAAGCTGGTTTTGCCACCAACTGCCTCTTGTCATATACTATGAGGAGTACAAAGCTATGGACAGGACTCACTGTCAGCTTGTGATTGTAGCACTGTTACACTTTAGTTTGCTGGATTTAAGTTCAGACTACTTTGAAAAAAGCTTGATTTTATTTTTACTTGGTAATATTGAGTTAAAAATTACACGCAGAGTTTCTCTGCTTTAACTGAACTGCTGGAGGGAGCTGCACTGATAAAGCAGTAAACAAAACTTTCAGCCCGTTGGAAGTGTGATCAAGGGTTACTTGCCAACAGTGCACACTGCATTATCTATCAACACAAGGTTTCAGCATGCAAAGTTTATGACGATAAAACCAGAATTATCACGAACCTTCAAACAGCTTTTAGTCAGGCAACGGAGTCGATCATTTATGTGGCTGAAACAAAATAAATGCTCACCGTTTGGTGTGATCCATCAGTGGAGTATGTGATAGAGAACAGAAAGCACAACAACAGAAATATGAACACTGTGCCTCGCCGGTGCCAAAGCCTGGGAGTGAAAACAATGAAGCAATATAATCAGTAAATACACTTTCAAACAAGCAAAATAATAAAATATAACAAATCTCTTTCAAATATTGTTCTGAAATCTTAATCCTGTCACAAAAACAATAATTTTTAAAAGTCATCTGAATGGTTGAACATGAAATTGGTCTGCTTAGTTTTCAGTAGCTATTCAATAACAGGAAACCACTCGCAACCAAAAATATATCCCTGAATAACCTACACCGGAGGTCTTCAACAGGGGGTCCGCGACCCCTAGGGAGTCCACGGAGGTAATGCATGGTGGTCATGACTTTTTTTTGTTTATTCCCCCCTGCAATTTTTTCCTCTAATTGAAATGTCTTTAAATCCACATTAACATGAATTCAGCACACTGTAGTAAACAGAGAAATGGAGGCAGAAGATGTCTTTCAGTCATTAAAGCACACATTCAGGGACACAAAAGAGCTCTTTCAAGCTGGGCACCGTTTCATTCACAACACCTGTCCCATCAATGAGGAATCAGAATCAGACATTTTTTAATAATCCCAGGGCTAAATTACTTTCGTTACATTACTCCATATGTAATAGAGTGACTATAGGACCAGTTTGATATAGGACTACTTCATACAATATATATAATTAGGGGGTCCCCGCTCCATCTTGTCATCAGTTTGGGGGTCCTTGGCCTGGAAAACATTGAAGACCCCTGACCTAAACAGAACAGAGGACAAAGATCCAATAGAAAATCTGTTTAACAGCTTACTCAAAAGTCCACTCCTTTAGCTTTACGAGGGTCTCCAGAAGAAAATAATGAAGGGTGACAACAGGCCTCCTCCATAACACCAGCGACAGACGCTCCTCTTTGTCTTTGTGTCGCCTTTCTCTCAATGACAGATCTGAAGGACAAACAGAGCTGGGATCATCTTGAGTTTCTGGAGAACTACTGGGTTCAGCAACTATAACATCCTGAGGAACTGATAATGCAAAGCTCATAATGAAGGTGGCAGCAGCAGGTCTGTCTTACTTCCTGTCATGCTGGAGCTATTTCATAACCCTGCTGCCATTAGGGTGAGATCAGAGTTAGAATGAAAAAGAGTTATAATTAGTAAACTTTAACTCGAACCTTTGACACTAACCTGTGGACTTGCCGTTCTGTTTATCTTTGGGTCCTGCTCGCTGCTCACAGCTTGATCCGTTGGCTGCCATTTCTCTCTGTCAAGGTTTCTAACTGCTCAGGCAGTCTAGAAGAAAATAAAGATCAATAAGGAGGCGTTAGTGTACAGTAAACAGGCCCTCCTTTGTTGTCAGTCGCTTTCTACGGGACACGGAGTACTCCGTTGGCGGGGCTATTGAGCAATAACCCGTGGAAGTGTCAAACACACCGGCGGCGGCTAGCTCACCTTTCTGTCCGTGGTGGCAAAGATAGGGGAGAGAGAACAAACAAACACACAAATATGTGAAAATACTGACGCCAGACTTTAGAAAAAAAACCCAGAATGGAGTCAAGCGGAAGAAATGTCTGTTTGTAGGTCAATCTGTAACAGGATACGATGTCAGATGCGGTCTAACATCAGAACCCTTCACATGCTAACCGGTTAGCCAACAGGGACACCGGGAGCCTTTACATTCAAATTAGAGCTTTGAAATCAAATACCATTCAGATTATTTGTACACAAATAAGTAAAATTACGTATTACAATACTATTGAGGTAATAAAAGCAACAAAAAAAGATATATATCAACGTTTCTCTATTTAATAAAACGGCACCAGCGTACCTCTTTCCTGTCTTCTTCACCCGGAAACACAAAACCTGGAACCTTCAAAATAAAACTACGTTGATGCTGAAAGGGTAAGATATTCCAGCGACACTGACGTTTTAAAACTTGGCATAAAATCATAAGGGGATTTAATTCTCCTATTTTTGAGTTTAACTTCTTAAAGTACCCAATTAACGTGTTTAATAAAGAAATATTCATTTCCTCCGTTATCCTCTTCCTGTCCAATAAGAAGCTGCCAGATTTCAGAAGTAGGATTCTGTAACCATGGCAACGCAGTGCCGCGTCTGTTTGCCCCTAGAAGCTTTACTAACAGAGAGCCCCTGAGCTAATTATATTTTCAAATAAATGATATATGACAAAAATAATAAAAAATAAAAATATATTTATACACATTTATAAATAATATGGAAATAATGAAAAAAAAAATCTGAGATCTGAAGTTTTACATGTGCATATTTAAACAAATTTTAATTTACAAAGTAGGAAAACCGGCTATGGTGAGTCAGTTCGGTCTTCTTTACTCCCAGTAAAAGTTTATTCAGAGAGGTGAAACTGCTGGTGAAGACTCATAGCCTGATAAACCAGACTAAATGTGAGATAAAATGTGTAATTTAGTCTGGCCCAGATGAATGAGATATCAGAAGATTGTTGATGAGAACAACCCGTTGTTTTTCAAACCACGTCTGTGCCCACTGGCCGACGCTCTGACCAATGAGCGCAATTGACTGTGACATAGTAAGCGCGACAGGAAGCTGGTGGGGGAATGTAAACAGTAAATAAGTAATGTAAAACAGTAGTGTAAACAGTAGCCTGTCAGTAAAACGGCGAAAACATCCTTCTCAAAAAGGAATGAGCGTAGAGCCTCTTCCTGCTCACGTTTCAACGAAAACCCCAAGTCTAATCCTTCCAAAATTGATTCCAAACCTGATTCAAACAAGAATTGTTCAATAGTTGTTGCCATCTTTCATGTTGTGCTTTCTCCATCGTCGCGCAGCTTTGTCGTCACGCCCTCAAAACCCTGCCCACTTTGCATCGAGAAAACAGATTTCTGCGTTGTGATTGACCCGCCAGTTCTAGGGCCTAGATCAAGGCTAGACCACTCGCAGGCAAAAATTATTTTGGCTGCTGGCGGGTGGGGCTAGTTTACTAGGCTAGAAGACTCATGTATCAGAACAAAAAAAAAAAAAGGGTTGTTTTTTTTTAACTAGATGCAACTGTATTTTGTTTAAGCAAACACTGACAGTACTGCTGTACCATTGTATGTATAAAAAATATACATTTTGTGTGTACATTTGTTTTTCTATTACCTAGACTTTACAGAAGACAAAATTAGATGAAAAAAGCCCATTTATTTGTCTTTATTACTGGTACATACGTTTTTCAAACACGTACTTTGACAAACAAATTTGTCGCTCAGTGCTAACTGGATCAATGAAATTAGTCAAATATTGACCAAAGAAATATTTTGAGTTATCCAATAACAACAAGTATTAACTATGTAGAAGTGGCGCCCAAAATAACAAACTGCAAAGAAAGAAAAGTTGAAATTAAAACAATCAGATCCTAAATAGTGCAATGATTGCCTTGTTGCTTCACGAAATAAGATTTTACTCTTGATAACGAGGGAACAGTCAAACAGACGTTCCACAACACATGCGGTCCTAAGGCATGGATAGCAATAGGAACCATAAAAACAGTCTCAGCAGGTTGCTTGCTTCGTTTATGGACAGTAGCCCAGGTTGGTAGTGAACTCCATCCTCATCTTGTGCCAACTTTTACTCATCATAATGAAGAGAGGAAAGGAACTTATCCACGTCTAAATCGTCGGGGAAACACTCAATAAGTTTCTTCCTTTCCTGCAAAAAACAAAGAAAAAGAAAAATTGAGTTATAAAATGTATTTATAACCAAAATGGCACCAAATGGCATGGTGCAGCAATTTTTACAACACATAACCAGAAGTGGCTTGGCTGAAATTTTTTACCTTTTATTCATTAACTTCTTCTATTTAAAAACTTTAGACCATTCAGTTTACATTTATACTTTAATTTCAAGCCTTTTTCAATAGATAAATGACGCCAGACTGCTGTTTATAGAGATTTAAAACTATTTGTTTACTCGATCACCTATAATTTTACCAATACATTTCAGTCAAACCCAAAAGTTAACAAGAGAAGTTTTAAAGGGGACTAAATCGCTTAACGTAATTACATAAGGTTTATCCCTTTCCCTGCAGGCCAACTTGTGCATAACTTATAGGTATCTTATCAAGAACTTATCTCTAACGCATATCAACATATTTGACATGTTCCAGACGACCGCTGAACGTGCTTCTAACTTACAGCTACTGTACAGGTGCTGGTCATAAAATTAGAATATCATGAAAAAGTAGATTGATTTCAGTAATTCCATTTAAAAAGTGAAACTTGTATATTATATTCATACATTACATACAAACTCATATATTTCAGATGTTTATTTTGTTTAATTTTGATGATTACAAATGACAACAAATGAAAATCTCAAATTCATCATATCAGAAAATTAGAATATTACTGAAGACCAATAAAAACAAAGGATTTATAGAAATGTTGGCCAACTGAAAAGTATGAACATGAAAAGTATGAGCATGTACAGCACTCAGTATTTAGTTGGGCCTCCTTTGGCCTGTATTACTGCAGCAATGCGGCGTGGCATGGAGTCGATCAGTCTGTGGCACTGCTCAGGTGTTATGATAGCCCAGGTTGCTCTAATAGTGGCTTTTAGCTCTTCTGAATTGTTGGGTCTGGTGTATTGCATCTTCTTCTTCACAATACCCCATAGATTTTCTATGGGGTTAAGGTCAGGAGAGTTTGCTGGCCAATTAAGAACAGGGATACCATGGTCCTTCAACCAGGTACTGGTAGCTTTGGCACTGTGTGCAGGTGCCAAGTCCTGTTGGAAAATGAAATCTGCATCTCCAAAAAGTTGGTCAGCTGCAGGAAGCATGAAGTGCTCTAAAACTTCCTGGTATGTGGCTGCGTTGACCCTGGACCTCAGAAAACACAATGGACCAACACCAGCAGATGACATGGCACCCCAAACCATCACTGACTGTGGAAACTTTACACTGGACTTCAAGCAACGTGGATGAAGTGCCTCTCTTCTTTTCCTCCAGACTCTGGGACCTTGATTTCCAAAGGAAATGCAAAATTTACTTTCATCAGAGAACATGACTTTGGACCACTCACCAGCAGTCCAGTCCTGTTTCTCTTTAGCCCAGGCAAGACGCTTCTGACGCTGTCTGTGGTTCAAGAGTGGCTTGACACAAGGAATGCGACAGCAGAAACCCATGTCTTTCATACGTCTGTGTGTGGTGGTTCTTGAAGCACTCACTCCAGCTGCAGTCCACTCTTTATGAATCTCCCCCACATTTTTGAAGGGGTTTTGTTTCACAATCCTCTCCAGGGTGCGGTTATCTCTCTTGCTTGTACACTTTTTTCGACCACATCTTTTCCTTCCCTTCGCCTCTCTATTAATGTGCTTGGACACTGAGCTCTGTGAACAGCCAGCCTCTTTAGCGATGACCTTTTGTGTCTTGCCCTCCTTGTGCAAGGTGTCGATGGTCGTCTTTTGGACAACTGTCAAGTCAGCAGTCTTCCCCATGATTGTGTAGCCTATAGAACTAGACTGAAAGACCATTTAAAGGCTTTTGCAGGTGGTTTGAGTTAATTAGCTGATTAGAGTGTGGCACCAGGGGCCATCAATTTTGAACCTTTTCACAATATTCTAATTTTCTGATATGATGAATTTGAGATTTTCATTTGTTGTCATTTGTAATCATCAAAATTAAACAAAATAAACATCTGAAATATATGAGTTTGTATGTAATGTATGAATATAATATACAAGTTTCACTTTTTAAATGGAATTACTGAAATCAATCTACTTTTTCATGATATTCTAATTTTATGACCAGCACCTGTATACTGCCATATTGGCAGCATTTTGGTATAAAAGGGGGTTCACAGGAGGAATCCATCAGTTCCCCTCCCGACTTCCTCCCTATCATAGGGTGAGGGAGAAGGTGAGCGTGATGAATCCTCCCTGTGAATCCTCCCACGGCCATTGGAACAACCAACAATCTTTCTAGAAGACATGATGCTAAATGTGCTGCGACTGCAAACCCCTCTCTCTTTTTCTGCGCTTCCACCTCCGGGCACATCGGACACTGGCTTGTGCATCATTTCATGAGTATTTCTCTGCAGTGCGGTATGCATAAGTTAGGCTGCCATTGGACATACGCTCTGGACTCATCAGATTCTGGGAAGTCTGGCATACACTGTCTAAATCAGCAATTTATATGAAGTCCCAATAAATTCTTATTGGGACTTCCAATGCATTTTTGGTCATGATCTAGCCCTGCAGAACAATACTATTTTTAAGGGTAGATATTAAAAGTGCAATTAAATGATCAACTAAGATGTGTTTTACCGAACTTAATGGGACCCCTTCACCTGTGGTGAAGAAATTGAGAAACAACTAGCAGTAAGATATTTACCTGGAACACCAAGTTCAATAAACAATCTACAAATACAGCGATTTTTTTAAGGACCTGAGAAATTTGCTGGGCAGTAAAAGCACAAAAACCATTAGGAAAACCAAGGAAGCCACCACCGAGGTCAAGGATAAAGTCCTGGATCAGTTTAAAGGTGAAAAAAAAAAAAAACAGTTTGAAACTATCAATCAAAATCACATGGAGGAAAACACAGGAATAAAATATCATAAGCCATTGGGTCGCCATATTTAATCAGAAAAGCTTTGTTTGCAACAAGAAAGCTACAAATGTCACTTCATCCCAATCTAATGACGTGATCGGAACAAGTTTGGATGGATGTTGATTAGATTATAGATCAGGAATAAACACCGGAATGAGACTATATTTCCATTGAGCCCAATGTGATCAAAACATTCCCACTATAGTGTTTACATGATACATTTTTATTCTGATCGGACCTTTATTCCAAATCCTTGTCAGAGTAAACATTCCTACTGACCACTTCACAAGGGGGGGTACAACAAAAGGTGTCAATACTTCTAAGCATATTCACATAAAGTTAGTTGGAAGGGAAAAATTGCACCAGCAAAAGGAATAACTGTGGTCTTTAACGGAATGTTGAGCAAATTGGGCTGAGTGGGAAGTCAGAACATATGAAGCCACTACATACAGATATTGTCCTGAACCACGAACATCTCTTAAGGTCTTAAATGGGTTATGTAAAAAAAAGGGAAACCAGACCGCTGCTAAGGACTCCAAAGTATTTGTGACTGATAAAGTAGAATTTGAATTTCTATTTGGATATAAAGGTCCCAGAGTCTGGAGGAAGAGTTGAGCAACTTTTCTGGGGTTGATCCGCCATGTTTTCAGAAATTTGGACCATTTGATGCTTCCTTCAGCTGTCAAACTCTATAGGTACGCTGATTTGATTTTCCAGCAGGACCTAGTACCTGTCTACATTTTCAAAGGTGCCAAAAGCTGGTTTGATGATTACTGAGCGACTGTCATCTACAGCCCAGCAGATTGGCCTCAACTGATCCATAGAGAATCAAGAGACAAACAGACACCAGACCAAACACTGTAGATGATCTGAAAATCTCTATCAATGCTTCAATTATGCCTCAGTAGAACAATGGGCTGACTGCCTCACTGATCCAGTAATCCATTAAAGAAACCCTAACCTTGTATCAAGTGCCTAGAAAATAACAATTTTGAAGCCTGATTCCTAGAAAGTTGGCTATGAACCTGGATGATTGAGAATCTTCACCAGCATTTGAAGCCTGATATTCAGGCTCAAAAGATCCTATTGATTTTTTAACATTTAATACTTTCTGAGACAGTGAACCTAGGTTGTCATTATCTGTTATTTATCATTTCATCAGACTTGCATAATAAATCTATAAACCCCATAAGTTTCAGTTTCTGAAACAAGTGATGTTTTTCATAAATTGTTGTTAAAGGATGAAAATAAACCTCTCTACTCACTTTGTCCTTCTTGCTGCTGGGAGATCGCTTGCATTCTCTCTTGGCAGAAGGACTCTCTCTGGCTGGGGAGAGCTTGCGTTTTTTGCTCTTGGAGCTCGCTGGCGACTTCTCTCCTGCTTCCTCCTGCCGCAGGCTGTCTTTAAGCGGAGTGCCTGTCCTGGCGATGGCAGCGCGAGAAAGAATCATGAGGGTGTGTGCGGCCATGTTAATGCTGCTTTCGCTCCCAGCTTCGCTGGCAGGGCTACAGGTTGGCACATCTGGGGTGTTGGGAAGCAAAAGCTGCTTTGGAGTCCCCTCTGCGTTTTTAGCGTTTCTCGGACCGGAAGGAGTCCTCTGACAATCACCAGGAACTTCCTGGTTATGATCAGCCTCAGAAAGACTCAGCTCTGGAGTGCCGGCTCCAGCCTTTCTCAGCGGATTGGAGGGAGAGCTGAGGCCTCTGAGGTCTTGTAGCATCTCAGCAGCCTGTTTAGCCAGAGAACTAGTTTTTGACGCAGCCTTTCCAGGCTTGGCCTGTGCGACAGGTGGAGGGCTGAAGTCTCTGGATGCTGGGGAGGCCATTGTTGACTGTTGTTTCCTATCTTCCAGGCTACCTTTCATTTCATTCTCCTTGTTCGCTCTGACATTCACGCTGTCCTGGGAGGAAGACCTCTTCTCTGTTCGTGCTTCTCGTGATTTTGAAGAACTCTTCTCTCCGGCCTCTTTCCTGCTGATCTCTTCATTGTCCTTTCTGCTTCCTGATCTTAACAGGTCGGATGACGGCGACCTGGAGCTGCAACTTTCTTTAGCTTTTGATTCTTCGTCATTAGGCCCATGTGAACCCTCAAAAGATTTGGACACCTCCTTTGATTGTGACTTCTTCTCAGCGTCAGGCTGTGAGGAACTGTTTGCATTTTGAGGCTCTTGGTCATGAATGACAAGCATTTGTTTGCGAGGCGTCTTTTTAATAGAATCTCTCCGCTGCTTTTGTGAAGAAGCTGCGTGTTTCAGTAAGTTAACTCCACCCTGGGGGTCAGACGAACACCTCACAGTCTCCACCCTTCTCTTAGGTTTGCTGCCGCCTAAGATGGCGGGTTTTGTCCGACAGGCGGCTCCTCTATTATCTGACTCCTGGGTGGGTTGTGAGGTCTTTGGCGCAGCAGGTGTTGGGGTCCCAGTTGTTTTTGTAGCTTGAGATTGAACCTCTGATGCTGAAGATTCAAAACATAAAATCCTTTTATGACTGAATGTTTTGGTCAAATCCTTCTGGACTGAAGGTTGAGGCTGAAGAGCTGCAGCAGAAACTTTTTTCTCATTTCCTGGTATTCAGATAAAAAAAAACAAAAAAAAAACAATGAGATGCTGAAATTGAAGCATTTTTTTTATACCTCCAATCTGAACAGAAAGATGAAACTGACTTGATTTTGCAGCCGGTTTGGGGGCGGTGGTTGTTGGCTTGGGTTTGACCTTTTCTGTCGGCTGTACAGGTTTAGAGCTCTTAATGTCAACCATCTGTAAATGTATGTTGGGGGGCATTAATTCTTCTTAGGATGGATTTTTACAGTAAAAAGTAATAATTCTATAACAAAATAAATAAATAAATTCATGTTACCTGATTGGAAACAACACGGATGTTTCCAATTGGATTTTGTCCCAAGACAGAAACGGGAAACACAACAGGCTTTACGGGAGAGGGTAATATAAGCGCTGGTCCTGTGCAGAGAGAGAACACACACTGAGGTTCAGATCTGGATGAGGAGTCTGCATCCTGTGGTTGCTCCTTCCATTTACTGAGGCAGATAATCATACACAACTCAATAGTGTTTCCATCTTTCTGTTTTTCTGTTCAATAAAATGTTTAATACATTTACTATAAAAGTTTATAAAGAAAAATCACAAAATAAAATTTTGAATTGGAAAATGAAATTCAGGTTTAGCTCTTAATATAAATACTTTTATTAAAAAAGGCATTCATAAGAATTATTATTATTATATCTTTTTTTTAAAGGCTTTTGGCAGTTTTGCAGCTAAAAAACAGCTTTTTTGTGGTAGTAGAGACATAAATGTCTCTTTGGGTGGTAAATGTTGTAGAGTCCAAAACTAGATGGAACTAGAGCACAGATCTCTACCAAGCTGCAAATTTTGCCCCTTTAAAGAAATAGTACACCCAAAACATGATTAGCCTTCATTTTCTACTCACCCCCATGCTGAACAACACTCTGGAGTACTTTTTTGATATCTCAAATGCATCTGGAGATCTGGGAGGCTTCTTGCTGTCTGCTGACATTCAAATAATGGAGGTCTGTGGTGCCCGAGACAGAAAGGTCCATAAAAGTCCACAAAAAACGTGTCAATATTCCTCCATACTGCTCGTCCAATGTATTCCAAGTGTCCTGAGTGGGTAGCATCCAGAATTTACTCGAAACGAAGTCATTTAGAATGTTTTTAGAGCATAAACAGTAGTGTATAGGATTTCCTAAAAGCGTGCGCCTGCGAGCTCACGACGCTACGGAAACCGCGGCAGATCAAACCAGATGAAAGTGCGCATGAAGGCTAATCATGTTTTGGGTGTACTATTCCTTTAATGTAACTTACACCTATAGCTAAAACTCGCACATCTGGATCATTACCAAATGTTCTGCTCTCACCTTCATTTACTCTGCTTTCTTTTATGATCAGCAGATCGAGAATTGAAGCGAGGTATTGCTCACCTTTACTGTGTTTGCATTTTCAGTAAAATACCTCTAGATTCTCTGGTTGTGGGTGGAACTACTTGTTTACCAGATAATGTAAAAAAATCCTTATGAAAAAAAAACCCTGCAATCGTATTATGATCTAGATCACCAGAATTTTATGGATTGTTCTTTGGACTGAGGTGCAGCTTTGGTATAAAATTTCATTAAAATCCTTTTAGAACTTTTCAAGTTATCCTATGCACGGACAGACAGATAAACACAGGTATACTGGACTGAAAAAAAAAAAAAGTATCTTTTCAGGTTTAAATTTTTGTTTTAGTTTTCTGACAGTCTCCAGGTTAGAAAAGTAAAACAGACTATGTCCATTTTCCATGCTTTTATGCCCCCCTGCAGACAGACGAGGCTGCCAGTCTCACCTGCGGAGAAGCTCTGTGTGGCGACTCCATGCTGATTGGCGGGTAAAGGTTGTCCGTTTGGGACTCCAGCAGGAAGCAGCACAGGTCTGGCTTGGACATCTGGACTTGGAGCCACAAATATATAGCTGGGAGTGGATCCTTGGAGGCTGGGGTTGGAGCTGTCCACCGGGAGCTGAATGATGTAGCTCTGCTGCGCCTGAGACGTCGCTTTTATTGGAGATGTGTTTACTCCTCCGGCTTTACAGACAAGAGGGCTGGCGCACCCCTCTGACCTTTGGAGGCCACTCACTGCCTGTGCCACCTCGTCAAAGCTAGCCTTCGGAGTAGAGGAACAGCCCGGAGATTTTACAGGTGAAGAGAGGTAGATAGTGGGGATCTTTTCTTGGGAAATACTTGAAACTGCTTGATTTATGGCTGTGTCTCTGGAAGTATCTCCATCCTGGTTCTCGCTGAGGATAATCTTCAAAGACACGATGTTCGGTTCCCCCTGCTTACGAGGGGTAGACGGGTTGGTGGTAGGAGGACTCTGTGTTGCTGTAACACTAGAGGAGGAGGCAGGAGAGGTAGTTGTTGCAGGAGGAGCTGCAGATGTGGATGAAGCAGAAACAGGAGCAGCAGTAGAGGAAGCACATGGTGCAGAGGCCTGACACACTGCTACACCGTCTCCTCCAGAAACTAAAACCTCAGGCTGGCTGGGAGTCGCTGCAGCAGGGCTGTTAATCCGAACCGCCACAGTGGAAACAACCTCAGGCTGATCACCTGCAGCTGCTGGATCAGTTTGACTTTTTGATCCTTTGGCCTGGTGCTGCTGAGGGTTCCTGTCAACATCTGAGGCAGATCCGTCTTCACCGATGGAGGTTGGGTCTTTGGATGAGGGAACAGAGTCAGATTTACAAAGCACAACTGGGGTGGACGTGTTTTCCTTTGAGGGGGGTTCCAGAGAGGGGACAATGTCCACAGGAGGCGGCGGCGTGTTTAGAGGTTCATCAATATCCATCGATGTTGCGCTGCCGTTATCCGAGGGTTTCTGTCTCCTGGCGGAGCCTCCTGAAGCAGACGAGGGGCCTCTTTGCTCCCCTTGGCTTACTAGCAGCCTGGGCGAGCTGTTCTCGATTCTGGAAGCTCTGTCGCCAGAGTCCAAAAAGGTTTTCCTTAACACTGTTGGTGCTGGAGGCTTTCTGGTTTTACGCTCCTGTCCTGGTCTCCCTTTCAGCATTCCTGATGCTGCATCTGAAACCACCGCATCCTGATGAGCAGGAGCTGAAATAATAAGAAAACACACAAAAAGGGACGGTTAGCCATGTTCTCATTATGAGGCTTTCAGCAGGTCAGTAGCAGCAATACAAAGGTGCAGGGAGAAGAAATGTTTTTCATGCAACTCATTTCTTTTAATCATCGTGTTCAAAATATCTGACTCAGTGAACATTAACCATGTAATCATCGCAAAGCTCTGATATTCCTTAAAGGTATGATCCATCGGTTATATTTTAAAACATATGGAGACTCTAAAAAAACCTTCGCAATGAAGTGTGAAAATGTGGTGCTGGGTTTCACAAAAAATTGTTCATTCTTTAACTTTTCACATGTTTAAAGTTTGAGACACACTTTGACCCTGAAGACTCAGAAACCATAACTGATACTAGGGCTGTTAGACTGTTTGACTGTTAGCCAAAAGTCAAAGAGACTTTCTTTTTTTTTTCCTTCAAACTGCAGTTCCTGTGTTATTATCGAGATTTTCTTCAGTACTCAAGTTTGTTGCATAATCTGTACGGAATCCAGAATTCCTACCCGAAGATAAAATGAGGAAAAAAATAAACTCAACCTTTCCTATTAAACAGCCCCCATCTAAATCCTGACCATTTTCACAACTGTTACTAACTACCCATCACTACTGACCGCCAGAGGGCAGTGCTGAAAGCACTGAATGTTCCCTTGCAGCTTGAGTAACTATAGCAACAGAGTCACACTGGTGACCAATCAGAAGCTGTACATGCTGCTGTCATCCAGGGCTCTGCTTCCAACGGCTGCGTGGATCAAAAATGTCGCCACCGGGTCTGCTGTCGGACATTTCTCCACTCAGCAGCTCAGGTTTTGGTCTGCTCATACTGTGGATCCATGGGTGATTGCCACTTTAACCCCAGGCTACAGTGATGACATTGGGACTCCTTTTCACGCCGGGTCAAAATGACTTATCGACCTTGTGAAATTCCAGGTTCTGGACCAGGAGCTTTCTTTCCTCCTGACCAAAGTAGAGGCTGTAGACCCTCTGCAGAAAGCTGCATGCTACTATTCAATGTACTTTGTTGTGCCACAGAAAACAAGTGATTTTCAACCCATTTTGGAACTGAGGTGACTCGATCAGGTCCTAAAGGTCCTTCTATTCCACATGCTCACAACCTCAGTTTCTTCAGACAAGTGCCTCTCATGATACATGCCAGCTTCTTGCTAAAGGTTCATGGTTGAGCCTCAAGGCCAACTTGGCAAAGAGTTGCCTTGTTCCAACTCAGACATCCACTTTTCTCAGGATGCAGTTGGACTCCACAACCATGATGGCTCGCCCGTCTGTCCACAGGGTGGACACCATACTCAAGCTTGTCAGTTAATTCAGTCTGGACAGGTGGTTTCCCAATGTCACCTTCCAGCAGATGCAAGACAAACTGACTGCTTCCACTAGTGTCGATCCCTTGGGTTTGCCATTTCTGCGGCCCTTTCAAAGGTGGCTCAACAGCTTTCCTCTGGATGCCATGCTGCACAGGCATTGCAGGCTCTCAGTGATGTGGACGTGTCTTCATGCACTGGCTCTAGAGAGCAGGCATGCTCAAAGTCGGTCCTCGAGGGACACTCTTCTGCTGGTTTTAGAGGTTTCCCTGCTTCAGCACAGCTGATTTGCATTGATAGCGGATTAACAGGCTTTTGTTGAACTGCAATCATCAGAGTCGGCTGTGCGGAAGTAGGGAAACCTTTAAAACCTGCAGGGCGGCGGCCCTCAAGTACCAACTTACAGCAGGCTTGCTATAGAGGGTTTTGCGAGGATGGCGACAAACTGCAGCTGGTGTCTCCGTTATGGCCACCGCGACGTGGTTTCCATATGTGCTGCAGCATCATGGGTTTCTCCAAGTATAGTCACCAGGTTCTACAACGTCAACATGGCTGCCCCTCATCCCCTGGGCAAGGTTATGAAGTTTGACTGGGCCCTTTCAGTGAGGTATGTGGTCCTTGAGAGGGAACATAGTTGGTAATAGTCATTCAATTCTTTCAGCACCACCGTATGGCGGACAGTAGGGATGAAATCGAATGAAAGTTACATCTTTAACAATCTTTCTATGAATCCCGGATGACCCGCCCCCCCCCCCCCCCCCCCCCCCCCCCCGTAGGAAGCTGTAGGAAGGATAGTTTCCTTCTCTAACCCAATTAAAGGTTACCTTTCAGATTTGGGATTGCATTTCTTTTCATTGCAATTAAATTGAAAATACAATTATACCCTTATGGATACTGACAATCATCCTAAACAGAATGCTAACTTGAAACCTTAAAACATTTTCCAGGATAACAGCTCTGCAGGCATTTTTTTTTACTTGTACTTCCCATGATCACATTGTCAAGCAATGGAACTTGTTTATTTCTACATTACAATTAATTAAATACCTGGATCAGTATTTTGAAGGACCTGAACAGCAGCAGAGGGTCCGACTGTCTCATTCTCTACTGCGCTGCAGGTATTACCGGACTCCCCTGCATCTCCATCTGCATTTTTATTTTTATCTGTAAAAAAAAAAAAATGAAACAATTTTTAAATTGACTTCCATAGAGTTTTTGATTGATAAAAAAAAAAAAAAAAACATAAAAGAAAGCATCTGATAGTTACGGTAATCGAAGAGCTCAAAGAGGGCCTGAAAAGCCGGGTCGGACTCTGTTTGCTCCAAAATGTCATGGATGGCATCATCACTCATATGGATTTCTCCCTGATAACAATATCATGAAGGAAATTAACCAAAACAACACGAATATGGATTTACTAACAAGAACAGGCACAAAACACATTTGATTTATTTCAAATAGATTATTTTAGCACCTCTAATCCTAGAATCTCATCTATAGATTGGTCTTGCTCCACTGCGCTGGAAGAGGACTTGCAGGTTTGGGGTACTGCGTCACTGGATCAGGAATAATAAAAAGACCCAGTTAATGTGGTATAATCTGGAGAGGTTCTGCCCACGATCAGCTTCTACAAAACCTAAAAACAGGTTCTCATCTTACCTGCCGAGGATTTTGTTGATGTTTTCAGCAAGCTTCTCTTGAAGCGACCTGTCCCCCAATATCTTGTCGCGAGCATTTTGTATCACAAGTTGCTGTGAAGATATAGATGAACAGAATAGTTAGACAGTGTGTCTATGGAAACAAATAACCAAACATATAGAAAGCAAAAATTCGCCCGCAGATAGTTCGACTTTGACAAACTTTTTTTGTCATTTTGTGTACACACTCTTTGTTCACAAAATGACATTTAATTTTATCCAACTCTCATGACATTTCCATTTCTTAAAGTGCAGCAGTAATAATTCAACTGGGTTACACTTTATATAGGCAGGAAGGCAAGAAGAAAGGACAAGATGGAAGGGACGCAAGAAATGAATGGAGGCAGGACACAGGAAAGGATGAGAAGAAGGATAGAAGGCAAGAAAGGGCATAAGAGGGAAACAAAAGGACGGATATGAAAATGGCTGAAGAAAGGACAGGAAGTGCAAAGAAGAGATTAAGAATAAAAGGCAAGAAAAGAGAATTAAACATTTTAATTACGTAACAGGGAGTAAAGTCTAAAAACACAACATTTTCCCCCCATTTTTAACAATTGTCCAGATTCAAAAATACTACAAAAATTAAATTTTACAGAAACTGCCAGAGCAAGAACTTCACGTGTAAAGACACATTGCTTACAATCTGAAAAAAATTTTTCTTCATGAAAAAATCCCCCCCCAAAAGATTCATTTGGTAATAATACTTGGAAAAAAAAAAAAAAAAAACAAGTATAAACTTACTGGGAAGTTCTCATTGACGACCTCCTCAGGCTGTGCATCAGCAGGTTGACTACTGGCAGTCACTGCAGCTTTGCTGGGACCACCCGACCCGCTTGCACCTCCTCTCTTCCTGGGAGTGTCCCTGAAAGCAGACGAAAGGTTAATTAAAGGGAAGGATGCAGATAATCTATCTATGCAGATAATTGGCTTGGATCACATAAGGTGTAACAACAAAACAGAGCAGGGGACTAAATGGAAACCTGCCATATACATCAAAACTGGTGAAAACTGCAGTAACTGTTCACCTTGTGACAAATATTAAAATAAGCGAGGTTCTTGCTACGGTTCTTTTTTTTTGATAATATTACCCTTATTCCAACCCTCCTCTGTCGCCTTTCTGTTTGTTACAGCAATAGATTCCCAATTTACCCACCTTAACAGTATTTTTTTTTTTTATGCCGTGTTGCCTTCCTTACCATTTCCTTCGACCAGGAGAGACTGGGCCTGAAGTGAGCCGATGCTCTGTGACAACTACTTGTATGGGTGAATCTCCTGTGAAATAACAATAAAATGTTCTTCGATCCATTAAAGCTGCTGATGTAAAATCAACAGCAAAGTTTGACTCGAACAGAGCATTTTAAAATGAAAGTGCACAATTTGTTTCAACGCCCCAACAAAGCTGCCAAAATACTTACGGGGTGTATTGAGTAACCGGCTGCCATCTTGGACCGGCTGCTGTGCCCCACTGCTTGGTGCTGGTCGGCTCAGAGGGCTGCTGTAGCTCACAGGAGTGGAGTGGCCCAGCATGCAGTGGGAAGTGTGCGCAGGGCCGATGAAGGAGCTGGTTTCAGAAACAGAGGAGCAGAGCACACTGCTCGAAGATGTCACAGTGAGAACCTGCTGCCTCGCCATGTTTGCCAACCCGATGCGTGAACGTGCTGCAAAGAACAGAGGCGGGCGAGTGAACACAGATGTTGACGGGACACAATATGCTGCATACAGCATGCTGCTAGTGCACGGATGCTACAGTCATACACTGACAGTTGACTTTTACCGTTGAGCCTAAAGTTTTCAAACTCAATAAATAGGACAACATGTGATTTACACACTGCTTAGAAATATAAAAACAACCTGTGTCTTTTTTCCCTAAATCAACCTCATCACTCTATGAATCCATGAGTCATGCAATAAAGTACTACTTGAAAAACAAAACAAAAACATATTGGTATTTAACCATTAATTAGATTCCCCTCCACACACACAAATTTATAAATCAATAATTTCAGATTTGGATTGTGTGATAATCAAACTTTCAATTTCAATGTTGGTTCTTACTGATACAAAGAAAAACCTGACAGATTATTGTTAAAATATTTATGCTAGAGTGAAAGTAGAAAACCTTTTTTTCTAACTCAAAAAAAGATTAAAGGAGAAGTTCGGTTTTTTACACTTTAAGCCCATTTTCTGTAGTGTCCAGGATGAAATCGAATGATCGACACCAAAAGTTTGACAATTGCTCCTGTCTCTGCTTTTTGGCTCATTTAGAATCACCCCCTGGCTGCTTTAGAATGGCTTGCATAGAGCATGTCCGATAATGTCCTTAAAACAACCTTAAACGTTCTTTTTTTTTTAAATATGCTACTCACCGGGTCGTCAGCGCTGTTCAATGACGTTCCAAAAAAAGTTTCGTGAAGAAAAACCGTTCCTGTCTTGTTTTATTTAGCATTTTGTAAATCCCATTGAGTTCTGTAGGAATAGTCAATATTCCCCTGCCACCGGAAACGGAAATGGGGCCTGTATACACAGTTGTAGTCTTTTCGCTTCATTCTGTGTACTCCGACGTCGAGGTGCTAACGTCTCTGTTAAACACTTTAAAAACTCTGATAATGGAATACGAAAGGTGGATTCTTGATTCTCGACGTCGGTTTTGCTCTATATAAAAAATTTAACTTGCATTTCTTAAAATAGCAATTTTAAGAAAGCCATAACGTTCCATTCTACTTTATCTAAACTGACCCAAGTTTGCAATAAACTAATGAAGAATACATGAATCTGCTAAAAGCAGGAGATGAGATTCTGACATGTTAAAAATATGTAAAGAGTCTAATAAAACAATAAATTTACGTTTATCTGGAGGAACTCGTCAAGCATCTTATAATAAGCAATCTTTCCTCAGGGACACGATTTTGCCAAAATTCAAAATTTAGATTGCGATTCTATTTGGATTTTCCTTTGCACTAAACCCTAGTTTATAGATGATTCACCCAGGATTTCAGTTTTTGAAAGCTTGCTTGCCCAGATTCCATTGTTATAGTATTTTACTAACCACTGTGTGAAAAACTGCTTACTTCTACTTGGGTGCATAGATCTTTGTGTTAGCTAATAATAATATAATAATTAAACTATTAATCTCACACTGAAGAGTTTTATCTCTGCATTTAACCCATCCCCTTGGGGAGCAGCTCCCCAGGTGCCATTGTGCGGCACCCGGGGAGCAGTGTGGGGTTCAGGGCCTTGCTAAGAGACCCCAAGTGGGTGTGGGGAACGAACCAGATACTTTTAACCTTCTCAGAGCACAAGCGTACTGCTCTAACCAATAGGCCAACACTCCTCCCAGCTACAATTTTCTCTAGCTTTCTGTGTGGCAACAAACCCATTTAAAGCTTTTTACCACCACCTAAAAGGCTGGAGAGAGGAACTTAGTGTCTTACTCCTTTTAAATATAGCGTGATTAAAAATCAGCGTCTTTCCAGTTTTTAAATTTGCATTTTGTTAAATTGAGAATAATACTGCAAATGCAATTAATTGCCCAGCCCTAGTGGTTAATGGTCAACACCATTAATGCAAGGGAAGCTTATTAATCTATTCACCATCCTTGATTTTATGTACCTAAAAATATTTTTTTCAAGCAGACTTTTCTGCAAACATAAGAAAAGCTTGGACTTCTTTCAGCCGGCTGACCAGGACTGCACAATACCAGTAAGAGAACAGGCAGTCCCTTATTTTATATTCTCATTAAAGGGGCTTGAATTTTAGGAACAATATGAAGTTATGTTTGGAAACATAACTAATTAAAACCTCAATATTCCCAGAAAGCAGATAACAGGGAGTGGCGGCCTAGTGGTTAGGGCATAGAGCTTGGAATCCTTAGGTTCTGAGTTCGAACCTCACTCCCACAGACTGTCACTTTGGGTCCCTGAGCAAGACTCTTAACCACACACTGCTCCCCTGGCACCCAAAAATAGCAGCCCACTGCTCCCCAAGAGGATGGGTTAAATGCAAGGAGTACATTGTTCTGCACTTGTGACAGTGTAATGACAATAAAAATAAAAAAAAGCTGGAAAACAAATCTATGTTTACTCTGTATTATTGAACATAAAAAGAGACAATGAGATTAAAACAATCGAACGTACTTCTCTGACTTGAAGAAATAGCAGGAGAATTCTGCAAAGACCTAAGAAAAACAACACATGTATATTAAATCACTAAAATGCACTTCAAAACATTAAAAGACCTAAAAATGTCAATCTTTCTGTCATTACTTGATTTGGTTGATGGTAAAATCTAGCTTTTTCCATAATGATGTCATCACAAGAGGAACTTCATGTCTGGACTCTTAAAAAAAAGATAATAAGACAGTTATTAGCATCTGGTTAAAGATGGCACATAAATACAAAGGTGTTTTTAAACATGAAAGTGAATTTTACCTTTCGATTTAGCAGCCACATACTCGTTCAAGATGGCTGTTAGTCCCTTCCCAAAAATAGACTGTGAATGAGTGAAAAGACAGTTGCTTAATAGCTTATCATGACAATAATCTGGGATTAAATGGCAGGAAAATCTGTGTGGTTCCTCAGACTTACAAAAACACAAGCAGGGATGGTGCCATCCCCTGTGGTGTGCTCGGCATACTCCTTCAGGTTCGGGCTCTCATGGATGAAGGCTCGGCTTGTAGCAGGCAGCCCCTCTTCCTGAAGATACCCTATAGGAAAATGAACAAAAAACGTTTTAAAAAAAGCTCTCACTCATAGATAAACAACTGTGTCCAAAGCTGCCTTGTTCCCATTCCATTATGGCTGCTAGCTAACGCTAGAGCAGCTGTAGCTTTATGTTCGGCTTACCCAAAACAAGCCGAGCGACGTCAGAAGGAAGTAACATGACAACCGATTAATTAAACTAAAAAAAAAGGTTATTAAACAACTACATATTCAAATAAATGCTAATAAAAGTCGCCGCGTATCCCGACATTAAAATACGTGTTTTTTTGTGATATTATGAAGGCGACATCCTGACAAGACTCCTGCTTTCTCAAACGGCGGGGAACTCAACCACCCGGAAGTAGCAACTTAACGTGTCGCTTGGATTTCTGGGACTTGTTGTCCATTCTTAATGTTTAAACGTCCAAATATACATTAATATTCCATGTGAACATACATATATCTGATGTTTTGGGAGTTAATGCAATACTTAGATTAATGAGGGACCTTTTGTTACTTAAAGCAATTATTTTATTTTATTTAACTTAAAAAATCCAAACGGAAGAACTCATTTCCCTTTTTATTACAACCAGGATGTGAAAGGAACTTTTTCCCGGGGCGGGAATATTCCTACGTAAGCTGCGTAAAATTGTGCGCAAGTTAAGATGCGCGTGAAAAATGGTAAACTAGTATCGGGATGGACTGTAAAACCTCCTGTAACTTCTGCACTTGATCGAATAACAGCTTGGAGAGTAGAATCAGTGCAGATCAATGAGGTCAGTAAGCTTTATGAGAGAATCAAAGTTTGTAAATGGAGATTTGTGAATCAGCTTCGCAGCTAGTTTCGATTACCCTTTCCCTGCAGGCATGGTCAAATTATATTTGTTGTGATTTTGTTTCAGGAGGTATGTGAATTCAAACATTGATTACTTTGTCATACGTGTTTTAGAGAGGAATGCTGACAGCTGCGATGATATAAACTGTTTTATGGTTTTTCTCACTGTTAAAAAAGAAATAGCACAACGGATTGCACCAGTTTACCACAGATTTGTTGATTTCTTGCACAAAGTGACAAACCAAAACTTTGGTCTATGTTTTATTTATTGATGGGGATTGACATATGTAAACATCTCATACTTTCTTAATGATTTTAACCTAGAGAGACAGTTGTAATAAAAATGAATCAAGTGAATTTGTGAGGACTATTTATTTGGGTGCAATATTAGGATATAAATATCTTAGACAATGAGTTTATTTTTTAATATAACAGCTGTTTTATTAAATTTAAATATGGCTGACAAAAGAAGAATGGTTTCAAGAGCTGTTCCCATGCAAAGCAATCATTTTGTTCTTCTAATTAAGTCAGAGTCAGTGTGATAAAAGCATCTCTAAACTAATCATAAGACTACTCACCTGTTAGTTGGTTAGATTTCTAAAGTTTTCCTTGTGCTGCTTCAGAGGACACACTTACCTGTAGTTTGCATTGATGCTTGCTTAGATTTGCTGGTTCCTCCTCTTCTCTGTTTCTAAGGAAATTGGTCAAAACACAGCAACCTGCCCAGATGTTGTCTGTTTACATTGCACATGTGTGACTTTGGCCTTATAGTGTATTAGCAGTAATCCTGTTGCTACTGTTGATCCTTCCTTGCAGGTGCAGCGGCCTATGTAAACTAACGACACAATGAGTCTAGTTCTTCATGATCTCCTGGCTTGCTGCAGAGGGTTGGAAAATGACAAGGCTACAGAGAGGAAGGTAAAGGAGCTAAGAATAAAATAAAATTTAATTATATGTAAATTTTTTTTGTACATAGCATCTATCGCTTTTTTTGTTCCCTAATTTTTGCAACCAGAAAGAAACTGAGCGCTTCAGAAGACTCATTCGATCTAAAGAGGTCATTCAGGAATTGGATCGCACCTCTGGGGCTAAAGCTAAAGGCTCCGGTCAGCTCACATGGGATGCTGTTTTCAGGTACGTCTCCACAGATATTATAAGTGGGTGTCTGTGTCAGATAAATTCTTATTACTGGGATTTATAATATATTTTATTTTCCTTGCCACACTAATTTTGCTTCTCTTTTTTGTCTAATATTCTTCATCTAAGAAATTCTAGTTGTTTAAATTGTATAATCATTCCACTTTTATTCCCTTTTTACTTATTCTACTTTTGCAAAATGCCTTTGAAAAGAAAAGCTCAATCCTGTCTTTTCCTCCTATTCAGGTTTCTGCAGCGTTTTGTCCAGAAGGAGACTGAGAGCATGCAGTCGAGTAAATCCAATGTCACAGCGACTACAATGGCAACACGGCAGAAGAAGATGGCTGAAACGTGCAGCTTGGTCAAATTTTTCATTAGATATGCAAACAAACGTAAGGGCAAAGTCCGCATATAGTCCAGCCGTAAAATGAATTGTTGTGTTTCAGTTAGATAAATTGATCTTCGTGGAAAAGCCCTGATTAAAACAAAACGTGTTGCCTAACTTAGCTTCCAAACATCACTTCAAGTTCTCCTCACTTTTAATTGTGTTTCAACCACAAAATTCAGTGTATCATAAATACGTTCTGCTAAAAGGGAAACCTGTGCACTCATCTAAAGTCTTTTGGAGCGTCTAACAGGTTTTCTTACAGGAGTAGGGTTGGTTTTCTTCCACGTGTTGATGGGTAGAAATTAACTAAAGGCAAAAAGTTTAGGGCTTTTTTTTTTAAAGCCTGAACACAACAGTTGCGTACAACTTTTTAATCTCAGATCCGATTTCATTCTGTCACACTGCGTACAGAGAGGAACTAACTAGGTAGGGTGGGCAGGTCTGCGCAGATTTTTTTCACTTCTGTCTCTGTGCTATACGCAAAATAAAACCATTTGCCACATTTGACTTGGACAAATTATGAAAAGTTATAGAAAAGTAAAATAACCATCATCGCATTCTATAAATCAAAGCCCGGCTTGAAAAGTCTGTGCAGCCTCTCAAACCAGATCAGCTAGAAATTGTTTATATGTCAATATTAAAAACATAATAAGATCTATGTCTAAAGAAAAGAAAAACACAGCAATAAACACTGTGGGATGGTTTATTTGTTTTTTTGTTTGTTTGTGAGGTTCAAAGAGGATGACTATTTTACTAGACCTGTTTTTTCTACTCCGGAAGTTTTTTTTTTTTTTTTTTTTATTAAGTGCGGTTTCTGTCCCTCCTTGCTTTTGCACGGCTCAAAGAGGATCACTACTTTATCCGTTTTCTGTCCTTCTGAACTCCTATCGTGGGTGAAGTATTCTTTTTTTATGTTTTTAATGTTTCATTGATAGATTTTCTATCGGATCGGACGCAAAACAGAGATGCTATGTATGGGTCATTAAACATCTGATGATGTTCTGACTAGTTCTAAGAAAAAAAAAAGTGTTTTTCTTTGCTAAACTAAAACTTTAGGAATGTAAAGCTAAAATCTTTGAAAATACAAAGTTGATTGCGGTTCCAGGGTATCTTTGTTCTGCAGGGGGACCAAGGCTGAAATGCAGCGAACTTCTGAAACACGTCATGGAGGTGCTGCAGAGTTCATTCTGCTGCTCAGCATATGGAGAGAATTACAGCAGCCTCCTTTTAAAGGACATCCTTTCTGTCCGCAAGTACTGGTGCGACGTCACTCGGCAGCAGTGGCAGAGTGAGTATCTAACTGGCTTAAAGGTGTGAAAAATGAATCTGGTTTATTTGGAAACTTGAACGGTTTCCATATCGAAACATCAAGTTCAAAAATTTTCACTGTTTAGTATAACAACGATTCTTTACTTTCCACCTGATGATAGACTCTACTTTCCTTCCTCACACCTACAACCATTTTGCTATTCTGTTTTCTACAAGGCCGTAATGTTCACATGCTCTCCTGACTGTTACTATTGTGACAACTGTTTCCATGCATCTTACACTACTCACCTTGACTGAATATTGATTTGCACTGCCGACTGTTTATATTTGCACTGCCGACTGTTTATTCACAGTACCAATTGTTTACATATACATCTGCAATAACGTACTTTAACTGTAATACGCAATTACCTTTCACGGCACTTTATTTTGGAAAGCTTCTGTCCAAACTTTATTCATTCATTTATATAAAAATCCATCTGTATATATGCTATTGTACATAACTGCAAAAACCTTTTTTATAGTATTATCCACCTGTATAATATATTCAGCAATTATCCAGCTGTAAATTTAGTTCACAACACTAGTTATCTATATACTATATTCATCTATTTGTAAGATTCTGTTTATAATGGTATTCATTTCTATACTTATTCAGTAGAAACCCATGTCCTGTATTTATGGAACCATTATTTATCCTACACTTGCTGCTAATGCACTTCTGGTTAGACCTAAATTGCATTTCGTTGCCTTGTACCTGTTGAATCTAATCTAATGGAAAACTGCAAGAAATCTCAGAAACCTCTCAAAACTTGAAAAGAGGTAGAAATATTTTTTGGATTGAATTTTACTCAGATTTGTACAATTACTGCACACAGAAAGTGTAAAAACTCTCATATATATATATAAGGCTGAATCCTAATTTTTTTTTTAAATCTGTGGTATTTTTAAAGTTGCTGTTTTGTTTGCTAAAAATTGATGCTCCTGCACCGATTCAGACCTTCTACAGAAATCACTTAACATTTGCAAATTCTATGATAATGTCAATCAGTGAGTGTAATAAAACTAATTGATAAAGATCTGATTTTTTTATTTTATTTTTTTTCCATCAGATGCGGGTTTTTTTAATAAATTTTTAAGACTGACTCTGACTTTTGATCTAAAGGCCTTTTGGAGTTGTATTGCGGCCTGTTCAGCTCCTCATCCAGAGCCATCAACCGCGTGCTGCTCAGCAGAGTCATCTATGTAGTAGTGAAGGGCTGCTGCACACAGACGGAGGGATTCAACTCTGCTTTGTTTAGCTTCTTCTCCAAAGCAATGCTTAACGCCAGGTAAAAACTACTGCTTGTTCAGGTTTAGTTGTATCAGAAACACTGAGAGAACCTGCAATTAAACTCATGCATCTATTTCCTGACAGGCAAGAAAAACACCTCAGTATCCTGGAGCATCTTGTCTCGGCTCTGAACATCTTCCTGAGATCTGCCGCCATGAACTGTCGCATGAGAGTTTGCCGACTCGGAGAGGAGCTTCTTCCCTCTTTACTGAGCGTCTGGGAAGACATGAGGCCGAGTGCCAACCTCAAGGAGGAGATCATGGAGTTCTTCAGCTTGCAGCTCCGTGTTCACCATCCGAAGGGAGCCAAGACACAAGACACAGGTTCAATGATGTTATCTTTTAAATTATAAAAGACTACCTTTTTTACTTTTTGCAATTTTAAT